CAGGCTTGCATAAACAGGAACATCAACTGTTTTTTTCTCTCACAGTTTTAATTAAGTAGGATGGTAAATTGGTTGCTTAGTCGAATCGAGGCCAATTTCTCACATCCGGCGTCGCTACTGTAAACACGTTGATAGCGAGGTTTAAAAAAAAACCAAGTTGATGATAGCCGTGAAGTAACACAGCCATAGAAACCCAAAGAACTACACACTCTCTGATAATGTAACTTGTGATATCGTGGATGTTTTGTGGTTTAAATACTAACACAGCCTAGAGAAACATATTGATGCGCGATTTAAGTTAAAAAATTTAAAGGGCGAACAAAAGTTTTACAAATTATGCATCGCCCGCAAAGAATATTTTGTGTGTGCACATTTTCCCCCGACATTAAAAGGCGTAATGACCCTTAAACATTAGGCATCTACCAATTATTTTTGTGTGATGTGTGTCTGTGTGTGTGTGTGGGGGGGGGGGGGCTAAATATGTATACACAATTAAGGGGCAGGCCCGTATGTCACTTCCGATTTGTGCCTCTCACTGTAAGTAGTGTAAGCTACAAATATCGGCTACATAAAAAACCATTAAGAGTTGAACAACTTTTTTAACAACAGATATAATAAACAGTGGATTTTTTTCTTCTACTTCTTTATTGGTCTTTATTTTCGTCAATTACAGGCTGTTGTTTATTTTTTTAGGTTGTGGTAGGGGGGAGGGGATGGTGGTTAATACCAGTGTCTCTAGAGGGGTAGGTCGCACTCAATTTACCATTGTTGGGAAGGGGGGAGACACACCTGGAAAAGTATTTATTTTCTTTATACAATCTATTTCGATAACACCTGAGGCCTCCTAAAATCAAGTTTTATCCTTAACATGACATTATCGCCATAACATAATCTAAATTTTAATTTCAACATCAACATATAGACATAAAACATAAACTTTTCCGAGATAGATCCATGCCTTCCTCCACCCCCCCCCCCCCACTCACAATTTAAAAAAAAAACCGGACACGAGTCCAGTACGTGCACTTTTGATGCAACGTTACCACCTAAAGTACACACAACGTCATGCAACAAGCGCGTTCGTCTGCCGGCCGTCGCGTCTGTCTCCAGCGCTGCACGGTAACCCAGTTTCTCCCCGACGCACACACGGCCCCGTGTGTCCATCGGCTGACCCTGATCCGTGCTACGTGTGGACGGGCACTCGGGTAAACAGTCGCCACCACACACTGTGTGGACCCTGGCACCGACCTGCATCTGTTTGGATACACTGGCTGCTTACACGTTTTCCTTACACAGAGATACACTGGCTGCTTACACGTTTTCTTTACACCATACACTGGCTGCTTACACGTTTTCTTTACACAGAGATACACTGGCTGCTTACACGTTTTCTTTACACCATACACTGGCTGCTTACACGTTTTCCTTACACAGAGATACACTGGCTGCTTACACGTTTTCTTTACACCATACACTGGCTGCTTACACGTTTTCTTTACACAGAGATACACTGGCTGCTTACACGTTTTCTTTACACCATACACTGGCTGCTTACACGTTTTCTTTACACAGAGATACACTGGCTGCTTACACGTTTTCTTTACACAGAGATACACTGGCTGCTTACACGTTTTCCTTACACAGAGATACACTGGCTGCTTACACGTTTTCTTTACACCATACACTGGCTGCTTACACGTTTTCTTTACACAGAGATACACTGGCTGCTTACACGTTTTCTTTACACCATACACTGGCTGCTTACACGTTTTCCTTACACAGAGATACACTGGCTGCTTACACGTTTTCTTTACACCATACACTGGCTGCTTACACGTTTTCTTTACACCATACACTGGCTGCTTACACGTTTTCTTTACACAGAGATACACTGGCTGCTTACACGTTTTCTTTACACAGAGATACACTGGCTGCTTACACGTTTTCTTTACACAGAGATACACTGGCTGCTTACACGTTTTCTTTACACAGAGATACACTGGCTGCTTACACGTTTTCTTTACACCATACACTGGCTGCTTACACGTTTTCTTTACACCATACACTGGCTGCTTACACGTTTTCTTTACACAGAGATACACTGGCTGCTTACACGTTTTCTTTACACAGAGATACACTGGCTGCTTACACGTTTTCTTTACACCATACACTGGCTGCTTACACGTTTTCTTTACACAGAGATACACTGGCTGCTTACACGTTTTCTTTACACAGAGATACACTGGCTGCTTACACGTTTTCTTTACACAGAGATACACTGGCTGCTTACACGTTTTCTTTACACAGAGATACACTGGCTGCTTACACGTTTTCTTTACACCATACACTGGCTGCTTACACGTTTTCTTTACACAGAGATACACTGGCTGCTTACACGTTTTCCTTACACAGAGATACACTGGCTGCTTACACGTTTTCTTTACACCATACACTGGCTGCTTACACGTTTTCTTTACACCATACACTGGCTGCTTACACGTTTTCTTTACACAGAGATACACTGGCTGCTTACACGTTTTCCTTACACAGAGATACACTGGCTGCTTACACGTTTTCTTTACACCATACACTGGCTGCTTACACGTTTTCTTTACACAGAGATACACTGGCTGCTTACACGTTTTCTTTACACCATACACTGGCTGCTTACACGTTTTCTTTACACCATACACTGGCTGCTTACACGTTTTCTTTACACAGAGATACACTGGCTGCTTACACGTTTTCTTTACACAGAGATACACTGGCTGCTTACACGTTTTCTTTACACAGAGATACACTGGCTGCTTACACGTTTTCCTTACACAGAGATACACTGGCTGCTTACACGTTTTCTTTACACCATACACTGGCTGCTTACACGTTTTCTTTACACAGAGATACACTGGCTGCTTACACGTTTTCTTTACACAGAGATACACTGGCTGCTTACACGTTTTCTTTACACAGAGATACACTGGCTGCTTACACGTTTTCTTTACACAGAGATACACTGGCTGCTTACACGTTTTCTTTACACCATACACTGGCTGCTTACACGTTTTCTTTACACAGAGATACACTGGCTGCTTACACGTTTTCTTTACACCATACACTGGCTGCTTACACGTTTTCTTTACACAGAGATACACTGGCTGCTTACACGTTTTCTTTACACAGAGATACACTGGCTGCTTACACGTTTTCTTTACACCATACACTGGCTGCTTACACGTTTTCCTTACACAGAGATACACTGGCTGCTTACACGTTTTCTTTACACCATACACTGGCTGCTTACACGTTTTCTTTACACAGAGATACACTGGCTGCTTACACGTTTTCTTTACACAGAGATACACTGGCTGCTTACACGTTTTCTTTACACAGAGATACACTGGCTGCTTACACGTTTTCTTTACACAGAGATACACTGGCTGCTTACACGTTTTCTTTACACCATACACTGGCTGCTTACGTTTTCCTTACACCATATACTGGCTGCTTACACAAAGATATACTGGCTGCTTACATGTTTTCCTGACACAGATACAATGGCTGCTTACACATTTTCCTTACACAAAGATACACTGACTGCATGTTTTTCTTACATAAAGATACACTAACTCCTTACACATTTTCCTTACACAAAGATACACTGGCTACTTAGATGTTTTCTTACTCAAAGATACACTGGCTGCTTACACATTTTCCTTACACAAAGATACACTGACTGTTTACACGTTTTCCTTGCACAAAGATACAATGACTGCTTACACATTTTTCTTACACATGATACATTGGCTGCTTACACATTTTTTAAACACAAACATACACTGACTCCTTACAAATTTTCCTTACATAAAGATACACTGATTACAATTTTTATATATAAAGATAGTCTGCTTACAGTTTTCTTATATAAACCTATGCTCACTGCTTATACATTCTCTTACATAGATACACTGTATGCTTACATGCATTTAGCACGCTACTTACATTCATATCCAAAGATACTTAGTCTGCCTATAAACCGCTTGTATAGATCATCTTAACAAAAATACACAACTAGTTATACATGACTTTTTCAATTCCCTATCTAAATATAACTAGCTATTCATGTAGTAAACAAGGCATACTACCACTGTACCAGTCCCTTGAGATTTCCCCATGACTCTTTTATGTTCAATAACAACATTCTAGTTATACAAATATTTTTGTTATTATTTGAATCCCTTAGGCAATTACTTTTTCCTCCTGTTTAACTTATCTCTCTCCCTCCTTCCCCCTCCCTTGCTTTCAAATACAGTTGATTTTTTCCCCAGAAAATATTGTCAAAAGCAGTTTGATTTATATTCCTTCAGCACAGAACTAAGCAATTATTTGACTGCTTATCATTTAAAAAAAATATGTATACACAAACAGGGACACAACTCTTAAATGTTTATCAAAATTATGGTTTTACTAAAGACCCAATGTAACTAAAGCATATTCGTTTAAATTATAATCTTATGATACACATGTAAAGTTTTGGATGAATGAATCAAATGTTAAAAAAAGTTTGCGGCCATCCACGACCAGATGTTGCTGCTACTAATTATCATGGTGCATATAGAATAAGCACATAAATATTTCCATCTTATGCTGATAGCCAACCAGGGAGTAAACATCGTCTTCACAGTGATAAGACTTGAAAAGCTTCTGTCTAGGAAGGAGACTATCTTTCATAACCTATTTCTTTCCTTGCCATCTTTCATACCTATTTCCTTTTTCAACCAATTGAAAATTATATAAAAAACAAAACAGCAACTCATCAGTTACATATTTCAATCCCATTGTCATCATTAAAATTACTTTCTGGGCTTTTTCTGATTAATAAAATTATGTTTTTAATAAAATGAAATTAGTTGTACTTATCACCAAGTAAAATTATTTTATTTAATTAACTTATTTTTTAACATGGAAGTAATTTATGTTTTTTTTTTCTTTTTCTCTCTTAGAAACTGAAAAGGAAAATTGACACCAGCGTGAATTCTGATGCGAATACAGCATCAACGGCGACAACCACATCCACGACAACATCAGCGGATACCATTTTCTTTGGGGACAAAGACCACAACCCCAGCAGCAACAAGAACATCAAGACCAGCAACGGCAGTACCGGGGCCAGCAGTTCCAGCAAGCACGCCCCACTGCCGAGCTTGTCAGTGCAAATTGTCCAGCAAATCAGTTCCCATTCCCAGCAGGAGGCATCCCAGACCATTCACACAAACGTCACCGTCAGCTCACGTTACGGTAACTCAAACTCCCCAAACCCAGGCGGCGCCAGCCACAGCGTGCTGACCAGTGTCCAGTGCAAACAAGAGCCATCGGATGACAATCGTTCGGCCGCCAGCAACACGCCCACGCCGTCGTCCTCTATCCACAACCCCCACATCGACCACGAGTTAGGCATCGGGATTGATGATGTGGATGAGCTGCAGAACATTCTTGACAGCATCGAGAAGGAGGAGATAGATAACAACACCCTACTGCATCAGATCAGTGAGTTTGATAAGATTTTCAAAAGCATTCAAGATTCAGAAAAGAATGATAACAGCGCCATGTATGGACCGCTAGGCTGCATCTCACCGGGAATTTCTAAAGGGCTCTACCCGGGAGGCCCCCTTAGCAATATCTTTGACAACAATCAAAATATGAACACTGCCGCCATGACAAACCCTAACACCATTCCAGTTCCGTCTGCTATTCCAGAGCCCACAGGGCCGGCCGCTGAGACTCTCAAACAAATGGCGGCCCAGCATCAACACCAGCACAGCCCAGGTTACCCAATGAAAAGCATGGACCATTTTTCAGATGGGTTGCGCAACGGGGGCTACCCACCTAACTACTCACAGCTGTACCGCTCACCAAATACACCAACCTCATTCCCGTATAATCACACCCCCAACCATCATCTCGGAGACGCTTCCCAGCTGACCCCTGATATGGCTGGCACCATGGTCTACGGAAGCACCAAACCTCTAACCCATTATTCCAACGACCAAGGCCAACACAACTCACCTTCCTCTCTACAACAGCTGCAGAACCAGGTTCAAAGCCACTTCAAGCCGTCAGCCTCTGCACCGCACCAAATGCAGATAACCCAAACCCAGCACATGCAGGTGTCCCACGGGCCTCACAGCATGCAGCTGTCACAGACTCAGCAGGTGCAAATGCAGCCGTCGCCCCAGCAGATTTCCATGTCGCAACAGCAGAACTTCAGCATGGGTCAACAGCAGATGGTCAGCGAGCAGATGAAAATGCAGATGATGGAGAAGATGAGGATGGAACAGCAACAGGCTCGAATGCCTCCCCATTACATGGGAAGACCACCCCCAGAATACAAAATGTCCTCCAATGCCAGACCTCAGGGACCTTACCCTAACCCATCCCCCACTGCAGGGAACCCAAACCCTCTTCAGACTATGCAGAACATGGTCAACCAAACCTCCGCCTACGGGGCTGTGAAGACTGAAGTGGCAGGACCCCCAGCCTCAACTCAAGCAGTCAATGGCCTAATGCAGTCTACCCAGATTTCAGCCATGCAACAGCAGACTATGTCTGGTGCTCTAGCATCCAACGGCCCCCACATGAGCAACTTACCCCAGTCTAACCAGGGCATTAGACAAAACTTCCACCCTCAACAACAGCACATGCAGCAGCCCCCAGCGTATTCCTCCGTGGACACGGCCTCCAGAACTGCCTCCACATACACCAGTGCAATAATGCGGAACCAGAGGCCGCCCAATGTCAACGTAGGCCCCGATGGATTAAACATCTCCCAGCCCCGCACACACGCAGACTGGCCTCGTTCTGGGATGATGGGGGCCCAGCATGCCGGGATGAGACCGGGCATGCAGCAGACTAGCGCTCATGGGATGACCCAGTCTGCCGCCATGTCTGCTCATATGATGCAGTACCAGCGACCACCGCACTATGGCGCCGGACCGGCTACAGGAAGCATGGCTGCAGCGGCGGCCGCAGCGGCTGCGACCAACATGGCTCAGATGCAGCAGCAGCAACAGGTGAGGGGTACCATGCCCGGCCAGATGAACAGGGTGGGGCCAGGTATGATGCCGAACGGCACCCAGATGATGATGCAGCACCAGAGCATGCAGGTGAGCCAGCAGATGAACATCCACAGCTCCAGCCCCGGCTACACCATGGGGGGCCCTTCTCCAGGTGCCTCAAACGGGGCCAGCACCGGTTACAGCATGGGCGGGCCCTCGCCTGGGGCCACAAGTTCTCAAAACACTGGATACAATTTAGGGGGTCCCTCGCCGGGTGCCACCTCATCAGCTTCGGGGTATAGCATAGGGGGGCCCAGCCAGCAGACTGTTTCTCAAACTACAGGTTTTCCGGGGCCTCCCTCATCCACACCAAACCAAGACGAATTTTTACATTTTCTGGATAATCCTTTAAGCTCTCAACCCATGTTCGACACGCTACACAGTAGTACCCCTGACGACTTTAGTTTGTTTGAAGACATATTAAACGGAAAGTAACACATTTCACCACATCGCGGTTATGAACTTATCATCAAAACCTTTTTTTTTGAACCATTGATTCCTATGCTATAAAGCATTCCATCACCAAGCCATATTCATTCATATATTATTTTACATAAGGTAAACATGTCGAATAAATAGTTCATGATAACGTACTTAAGACAATATAGCCACAGCTGCTTACAGTTAAGTCCATCAGGTGCAACATGACATTTGTATATTTCAATTTGAACTAAGCTTCACCTGGAGCTTATAAAAATTATTTTGTTTGTTTTATAATGCTACTGATAGCCATGTTTCTTGTCCATTTCCACTTAACTATTTCAGCTTTATTTAAAGACATAACTTGCATATAAAACGATGCCTATACGAGGGCAAGAAAAATGTATGATATGTACAGTTATTTCCCAACATATAATAAATACTATATTATTATATTATTATGCAAATTTGTAAATGCTTTTTACAGCATTATCATTGGTTACCTCATTGTTCTTGTTTTGTAAACAAAATTTTTTTTTATTTCACAAAGCTGAAGAGGTCAGTTCTGTTGTACTTTGGTTGCATGTGAAAATACTGCTAACATTCACTAACAGATGATAGTTGTTTTTTTCAAACACTGCTGTAAAGTTCTGTGCTTGTATTTTTATATAGCTTGAATACTCTCTACCGTAATGGTGAGTATCAGCTAGATGAGCTGACATACCAGCTATAGCTAGATCTACTTAAACAACAGCATTGTACCACCCAGAACTACAGCATTGTGAAGCCTCCATTTTGTGGCTATTAACAAAGAATGTTATTATGCATTAGTGTTATTATAACTGCTAAAATAATTCTAATATTTTAGATGATGATTTTTTTCAAACATTTTGCAACAAATTTGAAACACATTTTTAACTAATAAAAATCTTAAGTTTGGATCTGGAAATATACTTGATAGCCTTTGTATTTTAGATTTAAAGATGGCCTTTACTTAAATATTACAATTTTTAATTTACAATATATTTAACAAAACATTTTTTTATACTTAGCTTGTGGCAGTTTATTTGTTAGCATTAAAAAAAATTGTAATAGAGTCAGTGTATATTTTAACCCTGAAACAAACTTTTCTATGTGGCTAATATACCAAAAAAAAAAGTTTTACTGTTTAAAATCCTATTTGCTGTAGGTTTTTTTTTTTTAGAAAAAAAGAAGTTGAAACTGAAAACTGCTGAATTAACATGCTAACATGTTACCAGTAAATGATTCATTTACAGTGTAATTTGTAAAATAATATTTACTATTTAATAAGGTAGTTATGCCCACTAATTGAAATTATTGGAAATAAAGGTTTATAAAAATACTCTAAGTGGTAGTATTAATAAAAATGTGTTTTTCAATTAGATAGTTCAGATTTACAGAAATTACTACTTGAAAAGTTTGTTAAAGTATGCTCTACCTTCTACCTCAATATTTCTTATTGAAAATATACCATAAAAAAATTTGTCTTAGTTTCTCAATCTTTTGAAAATTTAAATTCAGTCAGCTGTTGTTAAAAAAACAACAAAATCTTTACAATTAATTTATTTCTGTCCTTTTCTGTTTTCATTCTGAGTACATACCTGTTATTGTTCAAACTATAAGCTGTCACTCTTGATATGAACTATTTTCTACAGTATTATCTCATCAAAAGCGCTTATTATATTCTTACACTGTTCTTATCGTTGATGGGACCAAAATAATTTCTTTTAGTCTGACTTTTCAAATTCCTGATTTTCATTGTCATCTTTTTGTCTGCCTAATGTGAAACATTTGAAAGGAGAAATAAAAACAACAGCCCATTGACACATTTTAACATTTCTCATTACTGTTGCATATATACATTTTGTAAAGTTTCTGTTTTCCAATTCAAATAAAGTATTATAAATATTTATTTTTCAAAGAAGTTTTCAAATACTGTGTCCAAACATCTTGTCCAAACCATATCTTCCAATCCCCCAATTTTTAAAAAAAATTCTCAGCAGTGTATGTCACCCAGACATCCCAGCAGAGAGTTTTTAAAATCCTTATGAAGTAGTGAAAAAACCAATTCAACTAGCCTTTTACAAAGCTTAAAATATTTGGATATTAAATTGAATTTAACCAGACAAAATAAACAACCTTTTCATCAAGTTTGAAGTTTTCTGAAGTCAAAATAAGATTTAAACTGTTATTTTCTTAATCTTTATGTTAAACAAACCTTTATAGATTTTTACAAAGTAATTTGGATTATCTGATATATACAGAGTTCAGAGCCAATGAGGTCCTATTGTTAACTTATTATTCATAAATAATCATGTCATTTTTCACCATTTTATTCTTAAAAGTGAAATAAAATCAATAGTAACTGTAAAAAAATGTTTTTAGAAAATGTGAATTATTAAAACTGAATATTGCTGTGGAAAATACTTAGGTTACTTGGTAATTGTGAAATAAGAAAAAGTATATGATACTTTTACTTATAGTTTTATCTTATACTAATTAATGTAAAAATTTGAATATACTTTTAAAAGTATAACTTAAATTGTTATACAATCAAACTGGTTTTTTTTGGGAGTCATTATTTCAGAACTAGATTTATTTCTGACTAGGTTTAACATTTTTTTAAAAATTGTCTTGACATTACATTTTTTAGTTTTGTACATAATATTTTAAACTATGTAACCCTTAGTTTTAATCAAACTGTTTTTAAAATTTGTGATTTATTGACTGGTTTTCAGTTGCTATGCATGAATGTTTTTATTTATAAAATTTCTTAATTTTCATAGGTCGTATTTTGCTCGCACTGAAAGCTGCAGCTAATTATTTTTTTTACAGTAACTTGTACGCACTTGACAGTTTCTTTTCTTCCCCAAGTCTTTCAAAGATATTAGATTTTTAATTTGACTTTTACAGCATTTTAGGAAAAAGCATCAAAAAGTTAAATGCCGTTAAGAATTTTTATCCAAAATTACATTTTTAAATATTTTCAAAAAACCGGTAGTAGTGTAAGCATATTTTAAACTGCTAAAAAATGACTGAAATGCTGTTGAAAAAAATAATTTTACGAGCAAAATATAAAATATAGAAATTTTTCTATGATAACTGTTAGCTTACCCAACACCTGAATTTAAGTTATTTAAAATATCTAGAATATTTTAGAATATTTTCTAAAGTTCTGATTACATAAATATGATCATGGGTATGCAATATACTGGTAGATTCTTTCTGTACTAACTAGAGAGTATTCTGTTCCTCACTCAAATTCCATCAGATCTACATATACATGTTTATGACCATGGCTTCAACTTATAGAAAAGCATACAATTATGCTAGTACAAACTTTTTTCCTGCATCATAGATGAAAAAGCCACTTTGGCGTTACATTTCAAGATTTTCACAACAATGTTTGAAAACATATTCTTCCAACTTATAAGTCTCTAATGGAACTGTTAAAAAACAGTAAAATAAAATATTCCCAACCCCTTCCCCAGTTGTAAGAGTTGATCTGTGGACCCCCACTTTGTGACCTGTTGTTTAGTGCCGAAAGAATCCACTTGTATTTTTTATTTAAACTATTCAATAAAAAACTGCTTAGTTTTTGGCTGCTGTGTGAAATTTTTTTTGTTACTGGTATCAGTTGTTAATATTTGTAACACTGAGAAAAGAAACTGAAGCATTGTATCCAACTTTCACATGTTTTAACTGAATCAAGAATTAAGTATTGAAAAACAATGTGTACATACAATCATTATCATGTCACAAAATGAACATGTCAGTCAGGCTGAGATTTGTTTTGTCCTTGATGTCACAAAATGTCATGTGTCATTTATGACACAAATTACAGACATTTTTTCAAAAATATTTAAAATGAATTTTTATTTTTGTAAGAATATTACATGAAACTTTTTTTTTAAACATTGTTTAGTTTTTTTTTAAATTATGTGTCTCATAGAATTCTCGAACAATTTCAAAACATTTATTGCATTCCTGACAATTTTCAAAATAGATAACAAAATTCTTGACCATTTTAAAAAAATATTGTCAAATAATTCTTGACTATTTAAAATTATAGTCACAGGTTTTTATTTTATAATCTTAAGATAAGCTAATTGTTCCTTACCTTTTTTAAACAAAAATATTCAAAGAATTCTCAACCAATGTTTCAAAATTGTAACCCATAGACTTCCTTGTCAATAGTTCTAAGTTTCAAATTCTGTCTAATAACAACTTCAAACTGTATCATGTTTTTACATGAAATTGAGCTGCCCCTGTTAATATAGTTCATTATTATGTTACTGTTGCAAAAGAAATATGTCTGAAAAATCAAAGTTTGTATCTACTAGCTGTTAATTTGCTTGTTTTACCTGAATGATTCACCCACACTGAAGGCAGACTTGTCTTCATGTATTTTGGTAGTTAGTCCCACTTGTTGCTTAGCTATCAGGTTGTTTCTTGTTAGCCTATCAGGTGGGTTTAGCTGGTTACCCTATCAGGTGGGTTCTAGTTAGCCTATCAGGTGGGTTCTAGTTACCCTATCAGGTGGGTTTAGCTGATTACCCTATCAGGTGGGTTTTGCTGATCATTAGTAAGTCAACTGGTGGATCAACCCATTCACAAGCCATCTGATACTATCTGTGAAGTTTAAAAAAAGATAATCTTGCTTCTGATTTTATGCACTTAAGACCTAACAAGTCCTCTACTCTCTACTTAGGTGTCTATGAATGAAGAATACAATTAATTAAAATAATTGTCTAACATATAATACATACAGCAGAAAATTACAATTACCAACTAGACTACTTGGCTGTCTAGGTCAATATCTTCAATCAGATCTAGATCTATTCACAATACAAATTACAAAACATTGGATCACATCCTTCAATGATGATCATTGACTTGTTTTTGTTCCCCTTTCCTCTTCACAAGATTCATGTCATGACTATGAATAATGACCCCTTACAATAAAGCAATATAAAACAAACTCCAACTGAATGGGAACATTTACTAATTTTATTTAATTTACAAAATGACTATTCTTATTACAGTAGGTAGTTTATTAACTGTTATAAAACAAAAAATAGGGTGTTCTTTTTTTCTATGCACACCTGATTTGACATGCAACTTAACAAGCGTAGTGAACTTGTTATGATATTAATAATACAATTTTAAACTTCTTTCACAGGAGAGGAAGTGTCTCAGTTTCTGTGTTTTTCCCCCCATTGATGCAAAACTCTTTGTAAATAAATGTTTATTATATATTAAATACACATGATGAAAGATCACTACTTTTGTTTTTATTTATTTAATTTTTGTTGTATGTATTTTGTCCTTGTCGCCAATGAGTTTTAAAATAAGAATTATTTAAAAAGTTGTTTCAAGTTTTAGGTTTGAATGTGTAGTTGGACTATCACCTCAACTCGAAGCCATAGTCGAGTGTCAGTTTTAAACGAGGCGTGAATGTGTATGTTAAAATATAACATAGTCATATCGGCATAGTTCAATTTTTTAAGGGATGGCGCAACGTATTTTGTGGAACATAAATTGGGGGGGGGGGGGGAGAGGGGTGTAACTAGATCAGTGGAACGTAAAGTTGGGAAGATTCAACAATGGAATATTTGGGTGGTTTGAACACGAACAGAGATGGCTACTGAAAAGCAAAACCAACATAATGACGACTTAGATGGAGCCGTTGAAACGTTGCGCATTTCACCGAGAACGACGTTCAATAGGGCTGGTGAAGTAGAGATTAATTGGCTGTATGACATCAGAAGTGATTGGTCAATGGACACCAAACCATGCCGAATCTGGTCATCAGAGAGCCTGACCATTCCCTACCCCCCTCCCTTAATCCTAAAAAGTTGGTCAGAAAACAAGCCCCGTCCCCCTTCCTTAGGATATAGATACCTTTCTTGGTCTCACAATTCCGCAGTCAGCTTTTAACACATTGTGATACAACTACATGCATATTAGTTGCCTTGCCTTCATTAAGCATTTTAAAAAAGCACATGTAATCAATTAGCGGATGATTTTTCGTTGTTTTTTTTTATTAAGGCGCGACTTTTAATTAACTAAAAAAAATTCAGCGACCTTCACCTTATTTGAGTAATGTGTAAATGGGAAAAAAATATAGGTAAAATCTGATTAGTAGACATTTTAAAACGAGTGATTTTTAAAACTTAGAAGTGAGTACTAATAAAACAAAGACACATACAACACACACACACACAATCGCAAGTCACCAAGTCATATATGACATTAATTAGGGGCGAAAGAAAGTGTGTTAGTAGCGTCACAAGGTGGGGACTGGATGAGTGGGTGGGGAGGGGGGTGCGCGCCAAAGGTGTGTGGGGTGGAGGGGTAGCATTGGAGTGAGTACACCTGGTGATTTCGGGGGGGGGGGGGGGGGAGGGTGACACTAAATGGATTGGCGTGGAAATGGCAGAACATACGACAGCTAACCCGAAAATCTCGAGTTCGAATCCGGGTTCAACTCAGTAAATGTCCCTGCGTCCTCCCAGCTCCGATGAATACGTGACTTACGTTAGGATAAGTAAAGGCGGCTGGGCATACTGATAACCACACTATCTCTTCATATGCCGAGGTCACAGAAACAAGTGAACTCTTTTTCACCTGCCACAATAGACCGTCAGGTTTCAAATGGATCTTTACTTTTTGTTTTACCAAATTGAAATATAGTAAAACTGACTTACAAAACAATGTTTTAGTCAGTTAAAATAATAAAATAGGGCGGAGAGAGCAAGGCCGAACTGAAAATGCAAAATTATTGGTGGGGGTGGGGGGGGGGGGGGGAGGAATAACAACATACTCAGTAACCGCACCGGTTGACACCCGAACCTTGTGACGTCATTGGCGGGTTGTTCAATTGCTATTTTTCGTATTACACGTTATATTTAAACCTACTAGCCGGTGATACTTTTCTCTCTCTAAACATACACGTTTTTGCTCAATAAATAAACAAGGTTAAATATTAAAATTATACACTGATTTATTCAGGTTAAATTTAGAAACGCTCCAAACCGAGAAATTTCATTTCCTAACGCAAAATTCCGACAGCTCGCGAAATTTTCCTCCCGGTTGCGTCTGAATACTAAGTACCCCATTTAATTAACAGCCAGAGCCCGCGATGATAACAACATTTTATTGGCTCCACCGTGACCCCTGGAGGTCACGACAACGATGGGAAAACGTGGTTTGGAATGATGAAAAGAAAACGTCTCCCCCCGGTTCTTATCTGTTGGTCAGGTTTCTCCCGTATTGCCTCCGCCTGGCCTAACGAACTAAAGGGTGGGGCATAATTAATCCTCCAACGGTTCCTCTCTCCGCCCCCACCCCATAAACATGTTCGTCAAAACTGGTCACACTGCAGATACAAACATCACAGATTAACAACACGTGCACATTCTTACTTGGCGTGTTTTTATTTTGTTTACCATTCATTAAATTGTTTTTTTTTTTACACAAACGAAGTTAGTTTTTATTACGTTAATACATTAAAATAACGATTATGATAATTTGAAGGTTAAAATATAAAATAATTAATTTAAATTAGAGATATAAAATAATTTAAAGCGAGATAAGAGATAAAAAAACCATCCTGTTAGGAATTTGAAAGTTAAGTAAACTTAAGTGAAGAGAAAGGGAGAGTAGGATTGTGGAAAGCGTGGAGAGCGGGGGGGGGGGGGGGTTGTCAGCAGCCTTTATGAAAACATGACGTCCCATTCTGTGTACAAGAAAAAAAAATGACAAAAACGGTTGACTGATATTAAAGTTGACGCTTAGGCTAATTACGGTAATTACCGCATGTTTTTTTTTGTAAATAAATGTAACACATTTTATGTTTGTAGACATTTCCTTTAATTCAACACTTTACTGAAAATACTTAAGTTTACAGGTCAGTCCCAAATTTTCAAAGTATATTTTACGTTACCAGACTATTTAAGAGTGTGTGTGTGTGTGAGTGTGTGGGGGGGGGGGGGGTGTCTGGCGTTATGGAACGAGGCATTTGAAAGTCCTGCATCCCCTCCTTCAATTGATATCTTGATTAATTCCGTTATTCTCTAGTGGCATCAGAAAAGTATCGTTCACATTCATTATTATTACATGCTTTTTTAGGCTAATCCATTCCCAGCTTATTTTGTTGGTTGGTCTGCAGTCAAATCTTTTTGCTCAGGGGCGGTCTCCTGACTTAAACCCGGATTCGAACTCGATACTTACGGGGTTAGTAGTCCAGCTCTCTACCGCCATTTTCACTACTAATGTCATTAAAATTTATCTTCATTTTTACCAATAATAAAAGTTTTTTTTCTAGTTGTTTTATGTTAATAAAAAAAATAAAAAATAAAAATAAAATAAAAAGTTGCGATTTTGGCCATTCTGGTGTTCCATAGAATTTGCTGCCTAATTAAAAATCGGAACTCTCCAGGCTAGTGCAGCCGCATCTTTCTTATCATGTGTAGCTGTCACACGGGGGGCCCGGGAAAGTTTACTGCTGCGATATTTTACAACGGAATCAAAGAATAATTACACCGGTGCTTCAAATCTTGCATTAAACAAACGTGGCTACAGCCTTTTCATTTGATCAATTTACGATTCTGTTTCAACCATCATCTTACACTCTGCCAACACTAACTCGCATTTCAAGGAGGAAAAAAATGGCGTTGTGTCGTTTGACTGAATCTACGAGTTAACATAATTAAAGATTTCACGTAAGAATACAGATGAAAGCATAATAAAAGTTTTTAATTAGTGTTCTTTATTTATTTTAACGATATCATATGTCAGCAACGTCGTTTATTGCATTTTAAAAATTTTTTTCTTGTTTTTATGTGAAGGTTTCTTATGAAATAATTTAGGTCCACT